CTTAATATGGTCACCAGTAGAAAAAACAAACAGACAACTCTTAGACCAGTATCCCTGCCTATTAAATGAAATAATTGACGACGCCACTGAATCATGCTAAATGCTCATCAGAGGTGTTCATTTACCAAACGATCACTCGACTAAATGATCGTCGCTGCTCTTTCTTTTAAGAGATCACAATTATAATTACTTCTTTACGGTTCAAAACAGATAGCTTCCAGCCATGGCAAGCGAAACATCAAATACTGAAAGCAGGCCAGCTTCTAATTTGAGGCAAGTATTACTGGACTCATAATTCCATGCTTGTTAATTATGCATTTCAGTCATTGGCATCCCGACACGCAAGGAGGCACCGCCATGGGCACGCATGCCCGTGGTACGGGCTGGCCATCTGCAGCGGAGCCTGGCACGGGTCCGTGCAGCGTGAGCCAGGCGCCTGCACGCTGCGAGGGGACGCGAGGGGCCACTGAGCGTCCTTGGTGGGGCCCGCAGTGTTCCTGGGGAGCACGTCACCGCCCTTCTCGTCAACACTTTTCTTCCCCGCTGCTTCCGGGAGCAGCTTTGGCTTCAGACAGCCCCCGCCCGACTTCCCTTTTCCTGTCTAGTTCTTGGGCTCTGGTCACTGGGGTCAGCTGAGGGTGACTTTGCAGCAGGTCTCAGCTGAGAAAAACATTCTGATATATGTGCTGGCATTTTCTTAATCACTCTGTGTGCAAAAGTTTCCTTTTCTTTTGCAGTCTTTGACTGTTTTTTTTTTTTTTTCCAGCAAATGTTAATGAACTTTTCAGTTCTGGTCGCTAATTTATACTTAGTAAGGACTATTTTGGTCCCAGTTGTGATTTTCGTCAGTGCCCGTCACAGGCCTAATAAGTATTTCCTTAATTGAATCGATCGTATTTCAAGCACGTGTCATTTCTGCACGCCCAACATATCTGATTTATTAAGATCGTTTGCAGCTGAGTCTAGTCAGTGTCCTGTTTCGTAACACAGGATGTTTCCAATTTACAAATATTTGTTGCAGAAAGGCGTCTGTGCTGAGTCGTTTGAAAGTTGGGCTGAATTTTAATGTGGGGGAGAATTCCATTTGAGGTTGGTTGGGGTTCTGGTTGACATCACATGACGCCCAACATATCTGATTTATTAAGATCGTTTGCAGCTGAGTCTAGTCAGTGTCCTGTTTCGTAACACAGGATGTTTCCAATTTACAAATATTTGTTGCAGAAAGGCGTCTGTGCTGAGTCGTTTGAAAGTTGGGCTGAATTTTAATGTGGGGGAGAATTCCATTTGAGGTTGGTTGGGGTTCTGGTTGACATCACATGTTTTTTCCAGCATGCAGACACGAGTGAAATCATGAGCCCTCGGCAGTGGCCGACTCGTGCTCCTGGGCACAGGTTCAGCCCCAGTAGGAATCCCCAATTTTTATTCCAAGACACGTATTTCTGCAAAAAATAAAAAATGAAGACCTGGAGCTTGTTCGGTGTGTTTCTAGAGGAGCCGTGTCCTTGCACACCTGCAGCCACGGCCCTCGGGTTCCACTGCCGTCACTTCTCACGGGGCGCTGTCACCTTCCTTCCATGGGGGGGAGGCCTCCAGTTCGCTGGAGTCGTCCCCTGCGATTCCCTTCAGGAAGAATGGCGCATATTCGGGATTTCTTATTTTTGCAGTCTGTCTCTGATTACAAACACAAGTGTGGTTTGGGGGTAAGGAAAAGAAACAAACAAACAAAAATGACAGTTTCGTACTGAGACGTAATAGCAAGGAAAGCATACACAGCGAGTGTCACATGCTCATAGACTTTTTTTCTTTAACTTCTACTAATAAATCGCTATGTAGAATCATTAAAACTAAGCTTCCTTGGTTAAAGCACCGCCATTTCTTAAAGCGACTGGTTTCAGTAAAAAGGCAATGTCAAAGGCAGGTCTCACCTGAGCACACACCTGCCTCTCCTGGGTGGGGCCTCTGACTGCAGAGCTGACCTGAGGCCCAGGAATCCGCATTGCGAAGCTGCTGGCCCAGGGACCGTACTCTGAGAACCAGTGGGATAAGGGAACCAGTGCACAACGTTTGAGGTGAACAAAATCCGTGAATTTAAAAACAATCTATTCAGTTATCAGCCGCCTACTCCGGACCATCAAAACGGCTCAGAAAAACGACATCACCACTTTTACCAAAATGTGCCGTGTGCCGAGCTTTTATGATTAAAGCCGTTTCCCATTTGGCATACGTAGTTCTCGCCGCGTGAAGAGCGTGGCTGTGCCTCCGGGGAGAGAGCTGCGACAGCAACACCTTGTCTGCCAGGCGGTGACCCCGATCGCAGCTCAAGGCGGGCCCTCCCGTGTGGGAGTGGATTTTGTACCTTTAAGGAACGGAGCTATCCGAAACACAACACTGGCTTGAGAAGGCCCCGGCCCACTCGGAATCGGAAATTATAAACGTAAGACTGTTTTCAAGATACATTAGTTTGAGGAAAAGCTTTGGAAAGCTTGTTCACAGTGTACAGGCCTCAGCTGTGTGGGTTCAGAATTCCTTTCCCAAACCCCGTGGAGCCGGTTCTAGTTATATTTTTTAAGTATTATTTTACAGAGGTATTAGAACACATATGTCGTATCACTTATACACTTCTGGGGGGTCCTGGGATAGCCCCCATTATCAAAGCCATTGATATTCTCCATTGATATGGGAAAGTATATGATGACTCAGGATAGGGGCAATAAATATCGATCGTTAAAAACACCTCCTGGCACTCCAGGTCAGATTGTCTGCTAAGTGAAAACTTCAGTTTCCAGAAGTTTATAGATTCCGGGACTGGGGACAAGGTTTTCTGTTCTGTGCCATGCCGGGCAGTGGGTTGACAAGTGTTTGTGAAGCTTGCCCATGTGCGTGCCATGTGCCTGGGTGGCATGGTGCTTTTGTGGATACGTTCCAAAGATACCTATATCTATATAGATAGATATATCTATAAATATAGATGTATCTATCTATATGTATTTCTATATATACATATACATATACATTTCTATATATACATATGCATATATACGTATATACGTATATACATATATACATATATGTACATATATACATATATATACGCATAATACACATATGTATATACGTATATACATATATATGCATATGTATATATAGAAATATATATAGATAGATATGTATATATATAGAGATAGATAGATATGTGTATGTATATACATATAGATAGATATATCTTTAAGTAAAGATATCTATCTGTATATATTTATTCAGCATCAGAAGGAAACGAAGCTCAGAGGCCACTGTGCATAGCCTTCCTCCAGGTGCACGATGCCTGCCGTAGCAGTTAATGACCTTGAGCGCCTTAAGTCTGCCCACCTGGGCACCAAGTGTGCTGCTCCTGATGACAGTGCCAGCCTTTTTGGCCAGCACGCCAGGTGGCCGGGTTCCCATGTCCATCCGATGCTCCGCTGACCGCCTCATCTGTAGCAGCTGCCCAGACCGACAGCTGCAGGGCTTCGCGGGGCGATGACGTCTGCATGGCCGCAGTACGTTCCCCTGGTGGCTTCTGCGGCCATCGCCTGTGAAACGCGCTGCTGACTTCCGTGTGGAAAGTAACCTGACGCAGCTCGGCTCCTGAGCAGGGAGCGTGTACATGCGACGGCCTGGCTCAGCCGCTGCCTGCTCGGCGTCCGACCCGCTTCCTACCGCAGCTCCCAGACCCCGGGGTTGTCCCTCGGCGATAGGGACATCCTTTGCTTAACCGAGGTGACTCTGGGCGATGCTGGACGGGCACGAGTCACCGGAAAGGCCAAGCTGTGATCAGAAGCCTAGGGCCCGAGCCCTGTGCTCCAGAGGGGCTGGAGGTGGGGTTCGCGCCCGACTGTCCCACGGGGCTGGCGGGCACTGACCGAGTCCGCGCCTGCAGAGGCCGTGGTGGCCCGTGTCCCTTAGCCTGCCGCTCTTCTGTCCGGATGTTCGTTCTCCTGTACCCTTTGTCACAGCCCTTCGTAACAAACAGGGACGCAGTTAAGTCAGCTGTTTTCCTGAGTTCTGAGCTGCTCTAGCAAATTAATCAATCCTCAGGAGGGCGGCATGGGAGCCTCTGATTTATTGCCTGTCAGAAGCACAGGTGACAACCCGGACTGGTAATTGGCATCTGAAGTGCGTGTGTGGGGGGGCGGTTTTGTGGGACCGAGCCCTCAACCTGCGGGATCTGATGCTCTCTGTGGGCAGATCGTGTCAGAATCCATTTGTCATAGGACACCCTGCTGGTGTCACGCAGTGCTGCTGACACCACACACGTCTCGTCTCCTATGGGAAGTGCTGTGAGCGCGGTAGCCGTGGAGTCGGCGGAAACGCAGGACGTGTTTTCCCCACGCAGCCACTGCAGAAGCGTCTGCTTTCGCGTGGGCTCCACGGCAGACCACGGCCAGGCGCGCCTGCTGCGCTACGGCCATCGGCACTGGACGTGTCCCTCCGAGCAGAGAGCCACACACGCAGACCCTCCATGCTGTCGGGAGGCACCCTTGAGAACAGCTGGTCGTGCACGTTTGGGCTGACACACGTGCGTGTTTGCATAAAACACAGCCAGGTGGAGACCTCTGTCTCCCAGTCGTCAGCTTTCCGTCGACTTAGCAGAGTTGCCGCGGCGCTGGAGGAACGCCGGCAGGCCGCGTGACCAGCACGTGTCCCTCTCCCCGGCTCGCTGCGAACACCCTTCCCCGAGCGCAATTCCACTGTGTGTGTGCGTGTGTGCGTGTGCGCGTGCGCATGCTCACACGTGCGTGTCTAGCGGAGAGGAGTTGCCGCGGCGCTGGAGGAACGCCGGCAGGCCGAGGGCAGGCCGCCCGGCCTCGTCTGCTCCGCGTGACCAGCCCGTGTCTCTCTCCCCGGCTCGCTGCGAGCACCCTTCCCCGAGCGCGATTCCACTGTGTGTGCGCGTGTGTGCGTGTGCGCGTGCTCGCACGTGCGTGTCTAGCGGAGACTCTGTGACGGAGCCTGCACCCTAAACATCTCTCCATCTTCCTGTCCCTCCCGTCCCCGCAGACACGGAACGGCTGTATTCAGTGGTGTTCCAAGAAATCTGTGGGCGCTACGGGAAGACGTACAGCTGGGACGTCAAGTCCCTCGTCATGGGCAAGAAGGCCTTCGAGGCGGCCCAGGTCATCATAGACGTGCTGCAGCTGCCGATGTCCAAAGAGGAGCTGGTGGCAGAGAGCCAGGCCAGGCTCGAAGCGCTGTTCCCCACGGCGGGCCTCCTGCCAGGTGAGCCCGCACTGTCCCCAGACCCCTGCGAGCACGCCGAGGTGTCGCTGCGCGTCGCTGGCCGAGTCGGCGCAGGGCACACCTGGCTGCCACGTCCGTGTCTGTCACATCGCAGAAACTCTCTTCCTGTCTGGGGCTCCCAGGCCCCCGCGGAGCTTGGTTGACTTGTGCAATGTGCTTCCACCCCGCCTGCCGAGGTTCCCTAAAATCAGGCACCTTCCTTTCCCCTTTCCTGAGGGGCAAACACGCTTGAATTTCCTGTGTCTCACTGTCATGTAAAGATTATATTCAGGACAAAATTGCTTCAAAGTTTAATAGGTGGCTTTGCCTTTTTTTCAGAAATGCGGTATAGGATTAATGTTTCAGCACCTAGTCAAACTTTAACAAGTTGATGATAAACAAGCAGGTAAATCTCCCCAAAGGAGCTTAATTTTTTTTTTAAGTAAAAGGCATCATTCGTTCTTAATGTGTCTGTTTGTATGCCCTCACCCCTGTCTTTACTTATTTTTCGTGAGAAAGACAGTTGGCTGTTCTCTCTTGGGGCTTGTTAACTCAAGATTGAGCAGAACTGAACTGCCTGCTCTTTCTGCTACACGTGAAATCAAGAATGTTCTAGATTACAGGACCAAAGAATGCTTAAAAATGGACTTTTGTTTTAAAATTCTTCCGGGAAGAAAGGCGAATACTCCGGTTTAGGATCCTGGTAAGAAGGGAGAAAAGCTGCATTGTCCGCAGGCACTTGGATTTACAGGCCTGTGAGTGTGGGTCGTGGTCACGGTTATTTACGTCTCCGCATCGGTCCAGGATGCAGATGGAACGTCCCGAGTGAGCAGAGAATTTCCTGGAAGGGCCCGTGCGTGCAGCGCGGCGTGCCCAGAGCCGCGTGCGCTGATCCTGGGGCGCACAGCCCCGAGACCCCGGCCGCGGGCACCGGTCCTGGGGGGTGCTCCGCGCCCAGCGCCCTGCTCACCGGTCACGCACACAGTCACCCCGTGAGCCGCGACGGCGGAAATACATCCCGACCGTTGTCTTTAAGCACAGAGGCAAACCCGTAGGTTAAGACGCAGCGTCTCCCCGTTTCTGAGTGCACGGTCACTAGCGTGAAGTGTGCTCACGTTACGTCACCGTCTCCGCCCCCGTTTACCTTGCAGAACGGAAACCGTCCCCTTCGGTCACTAAGCCCCCGTGCCCCTCTCCCCCAGCGCCTGACGCCCACCACCCACTTTCTGTGTCTGTGACTCCCTGCTCTGGGTCCCGCGTACGAGAGGCAGCACGTACTGTTTGTCCTGTTGCTCCTGGCCTTGGGAACTTAGCATCGGGCCCTCAGTCCTCGTCCGTGTTGCGTGGGGCAGGGTCTCCCCCCGTTTACTGCTCAGTGCTCTTCTGTGGCATGGACGCTCCCTGTTGTCCATGGACACTCCAGCCGTTTCCTCGTTGGGGCTGTCGTGAATAGCGCTGCAGGGAACATGGGGTGCAGGTGTCTCTCTGAGATCCCGCTTTCACCTTTTTCGGGTATGTGTCCAAAGGAGGGATCGTTGGGCTTTACGGTAATTCTATTTTTAGTCTTTTGAGGAACCGCCGTGCTGTTTTCCGCTGTGGCTCACCATTGTATTTTCCCCCCAGCAGGCCACGAGTGTTCCAGGTTCTCCACGTCATCAGCAATACTTACTTTCTGTGTTTTTTTTTTTTGATAGTATCTACGTGAATGCACGTGAAGTGATTTCTCCTCTGGATTCGATTTGCATTTCTCTGATGACTGGTGATGGGCAGCATCGTTTCATGTGCTGTTGACCATCCGCATGCCTTCTTCGGAGGAATGTCTGTTCGAGTCGTTTGCCCAGTTTTCAAATAGGGTTATTTGTTTTTTTTCTTGTTGAGTCTCTGGATTCTTAAGTATTCTGGCTGTCCAGCCCTTATCAGATAGATGACTTGAAAAGATGGTCCCCTCTTCCCTAGTTGGCCGTCTCGCTTGTTGGCTGTGTGCTCAGACGCAGAGGACTCTGTCAGGGTGACGCAGGTCCATGCGGCTGCTTTTGCTCTTGGCTGTGCTTTTCCTGTCATACCTGAGACATCGTCGCACAATCCAACGTCATGAGGCTTTCTCCCTCCCTTCCTTTGGGAATTTTGTAGTTTTAGATCTTGCATCCAGGTCCTTAGTCCATTTGAGGTTAATTTTTGTGTGTGGCACGAAGGAAGGGTCCAGCTTCACTCTTTGCACGTGGATACCCGGTCTCGCCAACACGGTGCGCTGAACAGGGTCCTCATTCTTCGCTGACTGGCTTGGATCCCTTGTTGGAGATCGTTCGCCCACATGCGCGCGGGCTTCCTTCTGTGTTCTCTGTTCTGTGCCATCGGTTTGTGCGCTTTTATGCCAGGGCCACGTTGTTTTGTTGACTATACCTTCCTAGTCCATTTTGAGACCATGAGCGTGAGGCCTCCAGGGTTGTTCTTTTTCAAGATCGTTTCAGCTATTTCGGGTCTCTCGAGAGTCCATATAAATTTTAGAATGGGTTTCTGTATTTCTGAAAAAATTCCTTTCAGATTTTGATAGGGATTGCTTCAAATACGTATACCACTACGGATAGCGTGAACACTTTAACAATATCAAGTCTCGCAATCCAAGAACATGGATGATTTCCATGTATTTGTATCTTTTTACACTTCTTTCATCAACGTTTTGTGGTATCACCGTATAAGTGTTTTGTGTTCTTCGCTGAGCTTCTTCCTTTTTGACACTGCTGTAAATGGAATTGTTTTCTCTCAAGCCGTCAGTGCACAGGCACACGTCTGATTCTCCCTGCCGCTGCGTCTCCTGCCGTGTTGCTGAATGTGCTCACGATTTCTAACGGCGTCATGTGTGTGTGGAGTCGTTAGGGTTCCCTAATGTAAGATCATGCCATGCGCCAACATATGACTTCGCGTCTTCCTGTCCAACTTGGTTGACTTAAATTTGTTTTCTTGCCTAATTTCTCTGACTAGGACTCAACTATTGTGTCAAATACAACAGACACAAAGATTGTTATTTTGTTCCTGATCTCAGAGAAGAAGTTTCAGCCTTTTTCTGTCGAGTGTGGCACCAGCCGAGGGCTTGTCATCCGTGGCCTTTATCATCTCGAGGTAGTTTTCTTCTAGTCCTAGTTTTGGTGTTTATATTGTTAAAGGGCGTTGAGTTTTCTCAAATGCTTTTTCTGTATCAGTTGGGATGATCATAGGCTTTTTGTCCTTCATTTTGTTCATATGGTATATCGAATTGATTTTCCTAGGTCGGACCCTGCATTCAGGAATAACTCCCATGTGGTCATGGTGTATGATGCTATGTTGTTGAATATTTTTGCATCAGTGTGTATTAAAGTATTGATCTGCAGTTTTCCTGTAACGTCTTTGTCCGGCTTTATCAGGGTAATGCTGGCCTCACAGTGAATGTGGGAACATACCCTGTTTTCAGTCTGCTGGGAGAGTTTAGAGGGTTTTTGGTGTTAACTCTTCTTTAAATGTTTGGTAGAATTCTCCAGGGAAGCCATGAGGACCTGGACTTCTCTGGTTACTGATCCAGTCTCCTTACTTTTTGTAGATCTGATCAGGCTTTCTATTTCTTCTTAATGTGATCTTGATATGTTATATGGTCTTAGCAATTTATCCATTTCTTCTAGGTTATCCAATTCGTTGGCATGCACTTTTTCATATTATTCACCTTTAATCTTTTATATTTCTGGGGCATTGCTTTCAATGTCTCCCCTTTTATTTTCTGGTTTTAATAATTTGCGGATTTTTTTTTCTAATTAATCTAAAAATTTGTCGTCACAGTTAACATTTGCCCTGGAGTCTGATTCATTGCTTAACATACAAAGCACATGATGTGTTCAGCATGCAGATAACTCTTTTCCTTCCTTGTCTGCCCAAGCTTTTCAAGGGGCGTTCCTTCTAGAATTGTTGTCCTGTATTGTAAGTTACCCTTCAGATGTGTTCTACTATAGTTCCAAGAAAATACGGTGTCTTAACCAGCCGGTCTGGGAGTCTGGCTAGAATACTAACAGGTGTTTAGTATGAATTTTACCTGGTGATGCAATCAATGCAGTGTCTTCATTCGGTACTCCCAGCGACCAGTGCAGAAGGCATCTTCACAGGTGGTCACAGACCATTACATGCAGAACGTGCACCTTAACAGTGAGCCCGGAGCTAGCTCTTCGCAGGCAGGTCAGTCCTGTGGAAGTCACCTGGCTGCTTTTCTTTCTCTTCACCTTCTTCGCCGATTCCAGGTGAAAAGGTTAAGGAGCCGTTTGATTTTTTTTTTTTTTTTTGATTCTGTGAACCTTGCTCTTTAGCATAAGACTGTTTTGCATGAGCTCGTTTTAACTTGTACTGGTCTTACACTTATCGATGATTTCAAAGTCTGACTCTGAAAACATGAGGTCATTTCCACACACCAGGAACACAACTGGGAGCAAAGCCTGCGACAGCTCGAGGGGTGTAAAGAAAAGCCCAGGATACCGGTGGATGAGAGAACCTGAAGGTCACGCAGGGGTGCTGGGTCAGACCAGGGGAGAGGACAGAAGGGACCTCGTTGAAAGGATTAGGGTGAGACACGGCGATGAGACCTTGCACATCTCCCGAGGGAGGTGAGCTGACAGGAAGAGGCCGCCCTGACTGCCCAGAGAGGCGGGCGGTGCACAGACTCGCCGGGCCACAAACGCATTCTTCCGTCGGCTTCCGGCCTGCGGTGTGCCGGTCACAGGAGGGCCAATGACACCGTCCGGCTTCCTACCCTGAAAGCTCATGCTTTGTGCACTGTTTTCTGTCCATTCTGCATTCTTCCCTTCTCCCCTTTATCTGAGCCCAAACTGAATTCCACCGGAAAGGTGAGCGACTGGAGTCCTGGGTGCAGTGACTATATCCAGAAGATGGACACAGAGTCCTCCTTCGGGATCTAGGTGTTCATTTCGTTCACTCAGTCCTTTGTTCCCGGCATTAAACAGTGGACGAGAACATAATCCCTGACGTTTCTTTTCTTTCTGAAGGTGTCTTCTGGTAGCACAGTTCAGGTTGTGGAAGTCACCTTGAGCTTATTAGGAAAGAAGGCTGCTGGTGGAGAGGGTGTGTTATTAATTCAACATCATTCATTTTTTTCATGCTTTCAAGGTGAGAGCTGTGTCCCACACAAGTATTTAGCAAGTTAAATTGGAGGAATGGATGGCTGGTTGCCAGGGGAAGCAGCCCCCGATTATCATGTAAGGGGTGTGTCCTTGGCCTGGCCAATCAGCAGGGGAAGCAGACCCTGATTGTGCTGTGCGGGCGTGTCCTCGCCAGGGCCAATCAGCAGGGGAAGCAGCCCCTGATTATCATGTAAGGGGCGTGTCCTCGCCAGGGCCAATCAGCAGGGGAAGCAGACCCTAATTGTGATGCGGAGGGGCGTGTCCTTACCCTGACTGATGGAGCTGTACCCTTACTTTGGCTCACCCAGTCCCTGGGAGTGTGGGGCTGACCCCTGGGGCCTGAAAGCTGAGGCCTACCTAACTGACATGCGAGGCCCTCCAGTGAAAAGGCTGACTGCATGCTACAGCCTCCACTCTTCAGGCTCCCAGCTCTGCCCTAAGCCAGACCAGCCAGGGCTCCTGCCTCTTCCAGCTTCTAGAGACCGTGGAAGGCCCTTGGCTCGTGGCCACATCCCTCCCATCTCTGTGTCTGTCTTCACATGGCCTTCCGTTTCATGTTCCCTTGTCGTCTCCGTAGATGGACACCAGTCATTGGACTTAGAGCCCTCCCGTAGACCAAGGTGACTCCATCTCCAGGTCCTCAGCTAATCACACCCGCAAGGACCCTATTACCGGATGCAGTCACATTCTGGGATTCCTGTGGACTGTTCCACTCACTGCACCCCAGAAATAGTGGGAGTCCTCCGTGTAGGCCTCGTGGGCTCGTGGGCTTCTTTGGAGAGCGACGGGGGCGTGACTGTGCTGTGAGGCGCCTTTGCTTCGGGCTCCGCTGGCTACGAGCTTCTGAGGGTTGCTCTGGGAGACCATCCTGCCTCGCCAGTGTGCTGAGGGAAGCAGGCTGACTGTATCCAGTATCTCTCAGGATTCACGGCAGATCCTGAGATACTGTTTTCACGTGCCCGAGTGTCTTAGCTCGGGCTGCTGTACCAAAAACCACAGAGCAGGTGGCTTAAAAACACGTTTATTCCTCCTAGTTCTGGAGGCTGGAGTCGCAGACCTGGGCGTCAGCGTGCTCAGGCTCTGGAGAGGCTCTCCTGGCTTACAGGTGGCCGCCTCCTCGCCGTGTGCTCACATGCTGGGGCGAGCTGTGGCGTCTGTCCCTCTTCCTGGAAGGGCCCCAGTCTGCTCATGGGGACCCACCCTCATGACCTCATCTAAACCTCATCGTCTCCCAGAACACCACCTAATTACCTTTGCGATTCATCTTTAACCCGTGCCTTACACAGAAGTGTATCGTTTAACAGCCACATGTTTGTGATTTTTCCAGATATCTTGTATTGATGTCTATTTTAATTCCATTACAATGTTTCATGTGCTTGAAGGTATTTTGTGCTCTGCTGTTGTTGGGGAAAGTGTTATATAAATGTCTCTTCAGTTCAGGTGCTTGGTGGTGTTCTCGAAGTCTGCTGTATCCTTACTTTCTGTTTACCTGTTCTAGCAGTTACTGGGAGAGGCGTTTGAGACCTCTCTGTCTAGTTCTCATTCGGTTCTATTAGTTTTTGCTTTATGTATTTTTAAGCACTGCTATTTGATGTGTACACATTTAGAATTATTATTTCTTGTTGAGAGATTGACTTATCTGTCATTATGCAATGTCCCTAATTTTCCCTAATGTTCATTGTTCTAAAGACCAGTTTGTTTTTAATATGGCTACCCCGACTGTCTTTTGAGTAGTAGTTTCATAATACCTAGTTTTCAGTCATTTTATTTGTGACCTGAGTATTTATACTTAAAATAGTTTTCTTGTAGACAATACATATGCGGTTGGGTCTCTTGTTTTTTGTTCTATTTTTTCATTCCGACAATCTCTAACTTGGGCGTGTTTATAACACTTATAAAGCTGTGTTATAAGGTCATTATCTGATAGTTCTGTCATCTCTGCGTCTCTGCGTTTGTTCCTATTGGTCACTCTTTCTCCTGGTTTGGGGTTCTATTCGTCTGCGTCTTGACTGGATACCAGGCATTGTGAATTTTACATCTAGCAGAGTCCTCGGTGTTACTCTATTCTCTGAAGTGTTTTCACCGTGTCCTTTTGGGAGAGGATTAGGAGGGTGGGTCCCCGTGAGCAGACTGGGGCCCTTCCAGGAAGAGGGAGCCAGAGCTCCGCCCAGCGTGCGAGCACACGGCGAGGAAGGAGGACCCGGGGCTTACGCCTCCCTCTGAGACTCCTGTAGCGCTGTCTGGAGAGGGCCCTGCATCCGGCCTCTGTCACCGTACCGAACAGTTTCGTGCTCGAGAAGGTGACTGTCACTCTTTGCTGTAGCAGCTGAGAAAGCAGAGACTTCCCCTCGTGCAGTGATTAGAAGAGTCACGATTATAGATTAAATATTGTTTTAGATAGAGACGGCAGTCTGTGCGTTTACATGTTACTGTTGTCATAAGCGGCGTGGGTTAAAGGTGGGTGACTCCTGTTGCTTTTGACGCACCCTGATAACCAGCCCCTCGTAGCTGGCGCTGTATGTAGCGGCATCGTCCTGCGTATTCCCTGTACCCGGTCCCTGCAGGTAACGAGTGTGGGGGCTGTCCCCTTCCCCAGGTGTGCTGTCGTGTTTGGCTGTGTCACCAAGGTCTGTTTTATTCTGGCGCCCTTCACGAGGCGGTGCTAGTGGGTGGAGGCCGTGTCCCCCCGCAGAGTGAGGAGAGGTGGTGGCTTTCTGCGGCACATGGAGCTTTTCTGCAGAACAGGAGAAGCACAGCCCTGGCCTGCTCAGTGCTCCAGGGAGCAAAGCCGCTCCGCCGAGACCGTCATGCACCCCCCGCGCCCAGCCGCAGCGCTGGCGCAGGCTCCCAGGGCACGCACCCCACAGGCTCGCCCTGCCTGGTCACATCTCAGCATGGGAGGGACCCCAGGTAAAGCCATTTCCAGTAAAATCACCCACGTAGACATGGCCACGGCCTGAATTGTTTTCTCGGGTGTGGTTCTGGGTAGGGACGTTTTGGAGCTGATTGGTCCTCCGAAGGCAGCCTGCGCCGGCCGGGGTGTCCTGGGAAGAGGCGGCACAAGTCAGGGTCACGGGCGGAGGAGCGTCTGTTCGGGGAGGCCTGTGGCCTGCACCTCCTGCACCTCACTGAAGCCTTTCCCTCCCCTCCAGGGGTGGAGAAGCTGATCCACCATCTGCGAAAGCATCGCGTGCCCTTTGCCGTGGCCACCAGCTCCGGGTCCGACACCTTCGTGATGAAGACCAGCGCGCACAAAGCGTTCTTCAGCCTCTTTCATCACGTCGTGCTGGGGGACGACCCCGAAGTGAAGAACGGCAAGCCGGACCCCGACATATTCCTCGCGTGTGCGAGGAGGTTCCTCCCCCCCGCCCCCGTGGACAAGGTGAGCGCCAAGCTGGGGACAGGCGGCGCGGGCGGGCGGAGCGTGGGGACCGCGGAGGTTTCCTGCGGAGGTTTCGCGGCTTTGGTGCGTTTCTGCCCTGCAGGACAGCGGCCTTCATTCTGCAAGCACGCAGGGGAGACGGGCGAGCGGTGTCTGCCACCTGCAACGGTGATCAGCGCCCGGTGACGGTGGCTGTTCAGCTTTGCTCTGAACTGTCACCGTGCCGTGACTGCTGAGACAAGGTGCTTAGCCACCAGCTCTGCAGATGCAGACCCAGCACGCGGAGGCAGTTCGTGCTGGTGCCGCCTGTGTGGCAGCCGGGGCATGCCTCCGGTGAGGGTGCGGAGCCACGCGGCTCCCGTGGGTGAGGCTCGGGCCTCTGCGCAGGGATGCGGGGGACAGCGTTTCCCCGGTGGGTTGTCTCCACTTGCTGACCGGTGGGCTGGAGCCCGGACGCCAGCCCGGGGGTCACTCAGAACCCGGCTGCCCGGGACGGAGCTCCGATGGTGCTGCTGTGACATCTGTTCCTTCTTCTGGCCCAGGGCGCAGCTTCCAGACCCTCGGTCACATGGCCTTCATGGAAGTGTCCTTACTCGGGTGCAGTTGCTTGAATCATCTGCCGTTGGGGACAGAGTCATTGGACCTGGAGGGTGGGCCGTGGGGCTGCAAGTTCCACCCTTGTGATCTTGCCTTTGTCTTCCTGGTGACCAGGCCCAGTCCTGAACGTCTGGGGTCCACCAAGAATCACCTCGTTAGTACAGACTCAGTTCGATCGAAAGTGCTTATTACGAATAACCAAATATGGCCCTTTCTGGAAATCCGCAGGGTTTCAGGAGCTCTGCCAGGAATCGGGGACGAAGACCGATTATATGTGTATACGTATTGCATAGATTCGTTGGGTGACAGTGGGTGCATTCGTGGAGGTAGACGTGCGTCGGCCGATTCAGATCTCATCACGGAATTCATCTCGAAAGCAGTGTCATGACTAGGGCCCAGCCTGAGGCTGCCCAGCCGCTAAGTCCCAGAGTCAGAGCTGAGCCCCGGGGCGGCCTGAGCGTCCTGGGTGTAGCGTCCATTGGCCTCTGACGTCGGGGTGTCTGCGCGTTGGGGCCCAAGCGTCCTACCACGTACGTGGAAGCGAGTTCTTTCCCCCGAGGATGTCCCCTTCTTCTAGAATGCCCCCACACCTTCTGGTTATGAGCCCCCTCCCAGAGAGGCCATGTCCTCTGTGGGGTGCCGGCTGTCTGGTCACCGGTACAGTGGCGGTAGCACCCGGCTCCAGCTGGTCCCCGAGCCATTCAGAGCGGCGTGCAGGAGCCCGCGCTCAGCGAGGTCCAGGGGGGCAGCGGACATGGACTGGGCGCGGCGCTGCTCCTGTCCGACCCCTCTGTGGGCCCGGCCGCTCTGCGAAGCGGGCATGACGCGGGGCCTGTGCTCTCAGACACATGGCGTTTCACGCTGTAAAGTGAGTGTGGGCGCAGAGCGTACGTGGAAAGCACATACTGGCTTCACGGGAGACGAGTCTCCGTGAAATCTCGTGAAGCAGGGCCCAGCCTGTGAGCGCACGGCCCGCGTGTCCGGGGGCAAGGCCGCTGGAGCCCCGCCCGGCGTGGGCCACATCCCTTGGCGGCTGTCCACACCGTGGGTGTGGCACTTGTCAGAGACATGGGAGCAGTGGCCCATGTTGAGTCATTTAGCTCCTGGCGTGGTCTAGACGTCAGTCTGGTGCGAGCCCACGCTTGTGTATGGCTGTTCGCCTTGCCAGACGAGGCCTTTCATGTCATATTTGTCATGCACATGATTAGGGTTCTTTGGGTTTTATCTCGTGGGAGGTGCATGTCGTGATCCCGGAGGGAGGTTCTGACGGGCCTGGACTCCTGGCCAAGGGGGCAGCCGTGGTCGCCTGCGTCCGCTTGTCGTCCTGCTCCGGGAAGCAGGGTCCAGGGCTCGCTGGGATGCGGCGTGGCTCTCACGTGCTGCCCCTCTGCCTTTCGCTGTTTGACGTGGTGCAGGCCTGAGGGCCTCTGAAGGTCAAGGGCATGCCGTGCAATTATGCAGCCACTAGAGAGAGTCACAGTTGCTTTTGGGAACGTGTTGTGCCGTGCATGTCCCCACAGTAATTAGGAGCGTGCCAGTAGGAGGACGTGCGTGAACCCCAAGGCGTACGGGGAGGAGGATTACATTACAGAGGTGCTTTCCGTCCTCCCGCGTGGAAGAATTACATTGACGTCGAAAGTTCTTCTTCACTGTTATTTATGCATCAATCTTTCATGATACAGATAAGCAAAAGTGACACCTGCTTCAAAAGTCCCCTTAGCCCACCGTCATGCTGATGAGCAGGCTGAATGCTTGATATATGCTGAGGAGACGCTCAGCTTCGGCGGGGTGAGGTCTCCCCTGAATCTCAGAGACCATGGGGGCAGAGGCTGTCACTGCCCAGCTTCTGTAGTTCACAAGCTTCTGGGGCATGCGGCGCGAGCCAGGGGCTCCAGGCCCAGGCAGGGTGGGGGAGCTCGCGGGAGGCAGCCCAGGCCCTCTGGGTGGCTGAGCTCCTAGCTGCAGAGGTGCACATCTGTGCTGCGAGATACGAACGACGGCACCGTTGACACACGACTTCCTAGGTCGGTACCTTTCCCGTTGCAGGCGAAAGCGGAAATCGGTTTTGAAAAGCACGGCGGTCGTGACTTCGCACATCTCCGTTTCTGGTTGTGACATCAGGAGCTGAGTTTCAGGAGTTTTATTTAAATTACTTTTTTGTCGTGTCCTGTTTTCAAGGAAGTTAGTTCCTCACGTGAAGCTTTGTTCCCCTAAAGAGTCAAACAATAGGATGGATGTGTCTAGCGTGATCTTGTGGGTTGCGGGTGAGTCAGGTGGCCGTCAGCTGGCTTCTACCACCATCAGGAAGCAGCGGGCCCATGGCAGGCCATGGCTCCGGGTGCACGTGACAGCACCCTCTTTGCCATGCTTACAGACAGTGGCTGGTGGGCCGCTGGGACCGAGCTCATCTACGCGGACTGCGCGTACCACGGGCCCCACTCCGCCTCCTCTCCCCAGGCGAGCGGACTGGCTTCCGCCGCGCCGTTAAATCAGCCGTGGCCGCCGCTCACTCTGGACGTTTCCCCTGCCCCTCTCCGAATGGAATACAGAAATCCTGGCGACTCTGCCCATCTGCCTTTGCGACCACAGACGCCGTTCATCCAGCAGGACTCGTGTCCCCCTGCGGCATTCCGTCCAGTCGCTTCGGCCTGACTCCTGGTAGGCGGCTTGCTGAGCAGTTAATTCTCCGTCTGAGGATGCGCACACACAGACACGCGTATCAGACACATGTGACGGCTCCAGCAAGAGGCCCGCAGTGACGTCATCACTGGATTTGTGACGGGCCGCGAGGGGCTCCCTCATACTCGTTCCTGGGGTGGGGGGGTTCGTGCCAGTGAAACCGCTCAGCGTTTTCCTCGGTCGTGCGTACACCGCACACGAGCTTCGGCCGTCTTCACGTGTCAGGCACGTCTGAGAATGATGTTCTCGTTAGGGACCCTTCCCTCCGGCGGGGCCAGGGGCGCTCCCCGCAGCACCCCGGTCTCTGCGCAGCGACGCCCCCCTGCCCAGCCCCCAGGGTCTTGCTCCCCTGGAGCAGCCGCACGTTCCCGGAGAGTCTCCGCGGAGGCCCCATCGGGATCGGTGTTGGAGCGGAAGGAACAGAGCCTCCTGTACCCCAGGTGGAGAGGAGGATGCACAGGACACGCCCGTGGGGACCTGAGCAGGTGTCCTCGGGGTGCCTTTCGCCCTGGACACTCTGCAGAGCACACACCTGAGCAGACGGGGAGGGAGGGCGCCGGCCCGAGGTCCCTGTGTTTCACGCACTGCCGTGTCTAGTGCCCCGGGAGGTGGGTGCCAGAGGCGTGGACGCTTCCAGTGGAAATGCGTCCGCTGCCTCTGCGGGTCGCCCACACTTTCCGTGACAGCTGCACACGCACGGAGGGCCGGAGCGCCCTGGAAAACGGGCACCGGTTGTGATTCGCGCACGTCACTCACGCCCCGTCACCTGTGGCTCGAAGTGTATTCCTCAGGCCACTGTTTTGGGGACCTTCGTGAGTTCCTCGCGAACAGAAGCTTCTGTGTTCTGGAAAGTTCCGCAGTACCGTTTACACAACAGGTGCGTGCGGCTGTGCTGCTCGGAGCGCGTTCGTGCCAATTATCGCACGTTGCGCATCTCCAGCCTCTCGGCGAATGTGCGCAGTCTCCTTCCTGCAAAAGATTTCTCTGGGTGGGTGCTCAGAGAACATTCTGGAAACCTCGTACATAATGGCACCCTAATGGGCAGTGTGGAATTGGACTTTAAACGAGCATTGAGAGACGAACAAGATTACAGGCGTCCCCACAAGCCAGCATCTCTTCAGCCCCGGACATGCCGGCCACCGCACGTGTCAACACCTGCAGCCCGCCTTCTCCCCGTGCCTGGACGCCTGCGGAGTGTGCAGGAGGGGGCTCGAGGGCCTCGTGCACGCCAGAAAGCACGTCCTGGGGGGTGTCGCCTCCGCGGACCCCTCATCGATGCTTCACTGCGTAACTGGGCCACAGGCGGAGGCCGCGCAGGCCTTCTGAGGGGCGGCTGTGCATGTCCGCCTCGAGGACGACTCAGCTGCCGGCCCACGGGTCATTAGGGTTTCATCCCGTCCAGGCCGGTGGATGTCTCAGGCTTTCCCCGTGCCTGCCTGTCACTTCCATACTTGCCACCTCTGCTGCACGGGACACTAGGCCGCGGCGTGGAAAACCCGTCCCCCGGTGGCGAGGGCCGTCCCCGCGTCCTCACACGGCCCTGCTTGCCCGCCGTCCAAGGCCGGCCTCGTGTGGCCCCGGCTCCCGTCTTCGGGACGCGTGGGCTGTGTCCCGCACGGAGCGTTGCTTTCCTTCCCCAAAGCACAGGCCATTTTCGTCACCGCACACCCACTTGAATGCACCTGGAAATGGGAAGAATACAAGGCTTCTGTTGACCATCTAGAAGCTACTGAGACTTGTTTCAGGAACCTTTAGAGTACTCGGCACCTCTGAGAGCTCTGCCGAGCTTTTCGCTGGTTTCCGAGAAATTGGTGGACACAGAGTCTGCATCATTAAACAGAAAATTAGATAGTTTTTGAGCTGCCCTTTGTGTACCACTTAATTTATGTGCATATACTTTAAAATGGACAGTAAGGGTGCCTCATGATGCATTTCTCATGAGTAAACTGACAGTTCCTTAGGAAGCTTCACACCCCACCCATGCGCACCAAGGTGTCAAATCCTAATTGTCTTGCAAGTCTTTTCTCAAAGGGAAAAAGAATCAATTTCATGGTATAGTTCATTCATATAACTAGCTTGTAACTGCAGAAGATTTGAGTATGAATATGGTTATCTCGGTGCTGGCTTTATAGATTTGCAAACCAAAATTAACTCAGGAAGACAGTAGCTCCGCAGCGTGCACGGGTTACTGAACTCAAAGTCAGACGCCTTATGTAGGGGACCCCGGCAAAGCCAGGATCTGCTCTACCTGTAGATGGGCGGACGGGTGTGTGGGGAGGGAGGGCGGGAAGTGTAGGTAGGTGGGTGGGTGGATGGATGTTCAGATGGATACATGATGGACCGACAGATGAATAATATAAAGAAAAGTATTAATAGAAAATACATGCAAACTTCAGTCTTCTTCACGAAGTTACTTACAGACTTATTCGAACACCTAACGAAGTGCATATGTACTGAACATTGCAATATTGTGGTACTTACTGATAGGTAATTCAGTCTGACAGAGAACATGGAGAAAAAACTTGAACCTTACATGAGCGCTAGTGATCAAAACTCAATCAAAGATAAAGTTTTAGGCCTCGTCATAGTTTTGATGTCTCGGAATGTGAAAACTGAACTTGATGTTACAAAGTTAATGAATAGAATAAAATCGACTGCAAAAGATGATATAATGAAATTTTTAAGCTAAAAACAGTGGTGTAGTTGAAAATTGTTCTTAATGATCGGACTTGGTCACGGGCTTTCTATGTGGCGAGTAGCCGTGGGTGAGGCTCTGGGGGACTTACCCCGTGCTCGTGCACCAGTCCAGGCCTCTTGGGAGTATGGAAGTGACCTCGTATCAAATATCGTGTTTTCCCAAGCGAAAGGGAAAGCTTTGGTCCCCGGGGACAGTGTAGTCACCTTTGAAAAGTCCGCTAGTTTCAGAAGAGCGTATAACGCAGAAGGGACAGTGGGAATTCTTCTGAGCCTAGGAGTCCCCCAGCGTGTGTCAGGTCGGCCTGGACGGTGTGGTCTGGAAGGCGGGGACGGCACACACGCCCAGGACTGAAGAGCCACTTGTCAGGCGGTGGGCTCCTCGCCCTCGTGGCTGTCCCCATCCGTTTCCTGTGCTGCTGACGCGAGCTGCTGAGCAGAGGGGTGACGTGTTGGTGACAGCGAATGCACGGGCGCCGAGTGTGGGACAGCACGTGGGAGCGAGGCACCGCGCGCAGCTACCTGGGGCAGGTGTGTGGGAGCTGCCGAGGCCAGCCTTGCTGTCCAGCACCACTGCGGCCAGTGCCCGGCACGTCACGAGGCTCGCGTCACGCCACCTGACGCGCAGTGTGCCGTCCACGCACACCCTTTGCTCCCCGGGTGTCTCCCGGGTCCCATCCACTGTCTCCGTCCCCCCGGCCTCCACACAGGATCTGGTGCCGACCGTGCGACTTACCTGTACTTACCTTGAAGACTCAGTGCAGGGGCCTGCCGACCCCTCGCTGCTGTCTGTGCTGAGCAACCTGGCTGGGGACGCAGACGCACGGTGGCCCTGGTGCCCTGCTGCCAACTCACGCGTCTCCAGAGTGGTGAGTGCTGCACCCCGCTGGGCGCCCCAACACGCTTCACCTCCCAGTCCCCGCAAATGTTATTCTTTCTAAATTAAGCCCCTCCAGCTACACTTTAATTAAGCTCGTCTGCGCTCCTCGAAATGGAATGCAGATGGGGTTCAGCCTTCACCTGGCACGGTGAAGAGAACACTGGACTCCGGAGGCTCGGCTCTGTTCCTGGATTCTGTCACCTGCGTTCCTGGGCGACCTTGCTTTACCTCCGCACTTCCCTTGGCTCAGACCCCAAACCCTGACTGGGCTGGGCCAGTGTCTGCGCTGCTGTTCGGACACGGTGATCCCTTTGCTGCCCTGAGCACCCTACAAGGTCACTTCCGCCATGCCTCCAAGGTTAGCAGGCCGTGACAGGAACACAGTTTCTGTAGCACTCTGAGAAGCTGTGTCCCGGCCAGCCCGCCCCGCCCCGCCCAGCCAGGGCATCCGTGGGGGCCGGGCCGCGGGAATGCTCCGACCAGGCACTTCCGTGCAGGCTGGGAGTGTGCTCTGCAGTGCGTGTGCCACGAAATTAATGAAAGGGGCGTGCAGTCCACACACACGTCCCCGTGCCTGCATGGCCGAGGCAAGTGCTGTGGGCTGGACGAGGGACAAAGGTGGCCCGCTGCCCAGCCTCCCCCACCGGCACGCAGTGGCCGAGCCCTGACTTAGAGGAGAGGCTCTGTGCAGAGAGGAGGGTGCAGAGGTGACTCACACCTGCCAGGTGGGCGGGATGGTCTGAGGCCCCAGGGCGGTGTGGGGGAAGGGGGAAGGGGGCTGGGCCTGGAGAACAGCCAGGCCTCTAAGGGGAGGAGGACCAGAGTTCAGCGGGGGTGAAGCCTCTGCAGGGAGCTGGGCGTGCGGCAGGGGGGCTGGGGGGCTGGGGGTGTTGCTGATTCAGTGCAGACCACACTTCCTCCTTGCGTTTGTGCGCGGCCTGAGCTGCTTCCTTCAGCTGGCTTCTCCCACTGGCTTTATGACCCTCAAGAGCGGTGACTAAGGCAGTGTTTCCTGGTGACTTTCAGAGATTGACGTTTGGTTTCCGTGGCAGTGAATATTCGTAAAACTTCTGGGTGTCAGGCACCGGCCCCTTTCCTCCTCCAGTGGCCTCAGAGCAGGTTGGGCCGGGGAACCTGGACCAGGCAATCACCAGGACACAAACAGCTGCTGACAGGTGTCCGACGTGCTTCAGAATGTACGTGTTCTGCTCTCTAATTCTGCTGCTTCTGACAAGGGGAGACCGGGCGCTGAGGCCCCGTCCCGCGTGCAGCGCGCGCTGTGCTGCCGCCTGGTCCCCTGGTCCCCTGGTCCCCTGGTCCGCGCGCTGCTGCTCTCTCCAGCCACGCGCGTGCGCTGTCCCTCCGCTGCTGTGCGGTTCTGTGTGGCCACGGCGCCTGGGCATCTGCGTCCAGCGTGCCCGGTTCCCTGGGAGCCACCCACTCCTGCTGCAGCCCTTGAGTTTCCCCGACCGGTCCTGGTCAGCCACCACCCTCAGGGGACTGTCCTCTGAGGCCCCGGGAGGAACCTCCGCACACACAGTAAGAGCTGCTTGCACGGCTTGGGCCAGATGCGGTCCCCCAGGGCACGGCAGACGCTCCCCGGTCCCCGCTCCCCGCCCCGGCCCGGGTTTCACACAATTGTCACGGAACACGAGGAGTGTCTAAAAAAGTCGTTGGATATGTAAGTGCCGTGGACGCAGATAAAAGGCTCGGGACATTTAGAGTGTGATCGGGGCAGAACGTCACAAACACAGGGACAGAGGCAGCCCCCGGGGAGCCTCTGAACCCCATCAGTCAGAGCAGGAGCTGGGGGGTTTCGGCGGAGCCGTGTATCCCTCGGACGAGCCGGGGCTCACGGCGGGACCAGGCAGCAGGGAGCGGGGACAGCGCCGGGCGCTCCGTGCGGCCCCGGAGGGGTGGCCCCAGACGGTGCCTCCCGTGTCCCTGCCGTGTCCCCGCCGACGTTGCGGGCGTCCCCGCCCACAGCCCCCTCTGCGCTCACAGCCCCGACTGCAGGGCGCTGGCCTGTCCCTCCCGCGTGCGGTGTGGGGACACGCTTGCTGCCCGCTGCGCCTGCGCGGAGAGCAGCTGCCGCCGGGTCCGCGCCCCATGGAAGGAGGGCGGCGGGGAGGATTCGGGGTTCCCGCCGCCGAGCAGGCCGCGGGGACGCCGAGACGGGGAGAGACGGGACGGGGTCCACCGGACGTGAGGCGTCAGGCGGCATGAGCCCCCTCCCGGCCAGCAGCGTGTGGGGCTGCTAGGACTCCTGGTGACGATGTGGGGTGACAGGCAAGGGGACAAGGGGCTGGGGGAAGAGGGGAGCGGCGGGCACGGCCCCGCCTGCGTGGTCGTGGGCTTCAGGAGGACGGGGGACGTGCGAGCTGCTCAGCGGTGCGGGGGGGCCCCCTGCCCGGTGTCGCCCCGCAGTGGGAAGGGCGGGGGTGCGGGGGGGTGGGGGGAGCGCTGTTGT